ATGGCGTCGTCGACGTCCTTGAACGTTCAAAGGGCGTGGTTTTCGCGTTGGAGTGGGGCGTTGATGAAATCGATTCTTTCCATCGTTTTTTTTTACTTTCGGTTAGCAGCGGCTGCAGTGGCTCAACGGCCAATTAAGTGGCGTTTCCGTTTAAACCGATTTCGGCCGAGTTGGACATTCGTAATCAGGAAAAGATATAATTGCTCCCCGAAAAGGCCAGGGCGTTGATGAGAGCCCCGCCGAGCATGATCGCGACCGTGGCCATTTTTTATATATCTTATACTTTCTTTATTATGTTTTCCGGAATGATACCTTGCTTGACGAGCATCTCTTTGGTGGCCATCGCCAGTCCCAAGTCGAGCACGAGCATGCCCATGTCTTGCAGGTTGAAATCTAGTTTGGATGCCGGTTGTTTGGTGATCATTTTGCTCAATCGAGCGTAGCCTATGGCGAATGTTTTTCCGTCGGGGTTAGACATGATTATAACATAACATGTGGGTTTACCTCTAATTGTGGTTTGTCGAGGGGGTCACCACCGGTGGTGGTGGTGGTGGTGGTGGTGTCTTTTGTTGATGGAGCCATACGACCGCGGTGATACCCACGACAGTGGCTGCCACAGCGTACAGAATCCACGGCGGGGTCGGTTTATGATGCTTAGCTAACCCCCCTTTTTTACCGGCGGCTACTTTTTTTATTCTTGGGTTTCTTAAATGTCTGTATCAATCACTCTGGGGGGGGTTTCCTCCTCTATCGCAGGAGTCGTTTCGGTGTTCGGCACCGTCATCCTGTATATCAGTAGTCGAACATTTATGTTTAAATTGACAGGGCCTCGCCGTAATGATCGCCGCGGTGATGGGAGCTAAGAATACACCGTATCTGTGATACAACTCACAACTGATGGTGTTCAAGGCGTGACCGATAAACTGATCTGCGTCGAGATCTTCTCACAAATAAGGTCGACATGCCGGTGGAATGAGAAGCAGAGACGAAGAGATCATGGTGTAACATTGCGTTAGAGTCGACCCTATGGTTTTCGTCATTTCGGCACCGAATCGGGATTCGTATCTCTAGCATACAGTTTATGGATGTCCCCATCGGACATCTTATAAATTTTATCAGTGGTCATGGTTTCGCCTAGGTATTGTTTCCCCTTCCCACCCACGATGAGGGCAACGAGTCTTTCTCGTTTATCCCCAACATGACCATAAATCGAGCTCGAAAGTGGGAACCCTCCTTCGCATCCACGACGATTTTAATGTGCGTGAGTTCGGTAGCACTTAAATTATTGCTTTTAGGATAAATCACTCCCAGCTTGTACTTGGGTGTAGCCATATTGAAAGTATACCGCTGTGTCTCGTAAATGTGTAACATGTACGTCACAATCCCGGGAATCACGAACGGCGAGCCCGTTTTACTGCTGTACGCGATCGATAACACGTCGGGGGACCTCGGAATCACGCTCTGCGATCTCACCTACTACCCATGATGGGCGAACATCAGTCAATGTCAAGGGACCAACAAGCTATTCATCGATGGCAATCGCCACGAGTTGTCCGGCCGGTTATTACAGCGTGTGCATGCTCAATGATGAAATATTCAAACCCATGGGAGCCAGCCTCAAACTCAACGAGTCGAGATAGTGCGCTGGCGTTCACGAATGGGGAAAAACACATCCGATTCGGTAGGCCCTTGGCGAAGCGCTTCGGGTTTCTGTCGAACAGCGTACAACCCGAGACACCGCCCGCGGGTTCGAAATTACCGAGCCTCGTGGTCTATCGCGAGGTGTTCGTTCATCTAAGCCGCGACAGACAACATTCAAAGCGAGCGTCCTTCCAGCTGCTGAGATCCGTGCGGTGAAATTGGAAAAGTGCAGCGGCGGCCAGAACAGAATCGTTTCCGACCTTACAGTACAGAAAGTTAGCGCGGAAACATAGCGGAACTCAAACTATCCGTTTTAGATATAAGACATAAACCCATACATATCGGCTATCGAGCGCCATGCTGCACATCAAACAACGATGACTCAAGCTTCGGTCCCGGAACAGCCATGCACGAATTACAAAAATGCCCTACATGGCGATTTCCAACCTCGGGGGACACCGCAGCGGGTTTGGCGACCCAGGGTTGAAGGCAAAATATACAGTTTAGAATTAAGAAACAACACTTACAGGCGTAAGTCCGCGGTGGTGGTGGTGGTAACCTAGGAAATTTAGGCGATGTGGTCACCAGAGGTCTCTTGAAAAACACCCAAAACAATCTAGTCCTCAGCGACAATAACAAATGGATAATGGTCCGGCATTCGATGGCAATCTAGGCGATTTAGACAATGTCGAGGACCCAAGGTCTCTTAAAAACGCGTTGTACCAGTTAAGTCCCTAACCGATGATAACCAATGGACGTTGATCTCCTCCCAAATCGACTGGCTACTCGATATCACCCTCGTTTCTCCCTCGTGTTTGCAGAGTCGAAGGATCATTATTTAATGAAAGTCCTCAATAAGGGGTTTCTCATCAGCTGCTTACGTCCCCTCGCAAGCGAAGGAGTGTGATCATGAGCCTCATCCCCAATAAAGCGGGTCATTTGCTAGCGAAATCGACCAGATAGTCGAAATACAAGTTTACAGTTGTTGCTTGAATCGGAATACGGGATGATTTCACACAAAGGATTCCACACAATTCTACGCTTTATATCGAAGTCTTTCTCGGGGAGGCATCACCCAACAGAGATGTTGAAATTATAGCGGGGAGTAAACCTCCGTTGGCCTCGAAAACATCAAAATCACATGTGCTCAATTTACATACAGAAAACGTCAACTTATATGCGAAGTCTCGAAGGAGTCACGATTAACTTAGAAATACAATCGCACTCACGAGGATTTTTATACCTTCAAAATCCATCTCATCAGCTTAAAGTTTACGCCTGAGAAATTGTCTGAGAATCAATTGAAGACTCTTCGATATCTGAGCATAACCATGGGCTTAATGGTCAAACCCGAATCAAATCGCCACCATTGCATTCTCCGATCTCGGGACACGCGAGGATTTGACTAAACCCGGTGAAAAAGCGCCTTATGCGTGTTGCAATTACAAAACAACGTGTACCAATGTCGAGAAGTCATCGTTGAATTGAACTGGATCATCAATATCGTCCTGACCTACCTATCTCGGTGGTGATGGTGATGTCATCGAACTGAAAAATAATGGTGCTCTACTGGATAGTTTTAGTCCATTCAGCGAAAAAAGCGGTGTACAAATCAAGCGTTACCAGATCAAGCGGGTAATATGTTAGTCACCCTTCCGGAACCCAAATATAATCTGATGGGATTGAATAAAATCATAAGTATGAAATCCAGAAGCGTGGATCAAGCGATACACGGTTCTACAGTTATTATTGAAGTTTATCTAAGAGATGACCCCGCGAAAGATGTACCATTTCTAAATGGGTTAAAATATGCTGGTATGATGCATGCATCATTATAAGCGTTATCGTATTTATATACAATTGAAGCTTATTTCCTAACTTATAATATACTCGAGTTGGGATTGTATCCGACCATGGACAACGTTGCTCAAGCGCTTTCGAAACCGTGGATGCATTTCGTTTCGCGACAGATCAGCGAAAATTAAACACCAATTGGAGCGAAAGCGGTGCGACTTCGGATTGCACAAAAAATACCATCGAGCCGTCAGTGCCATTGGCCGGTGTGGACACATCTCTCGTGGCAGTTAGCATGGGATTAAGGCGTGGCAGGTGTTGGCTTATTATCCACCATCGGTGGCCACACCGTAGTCCACCGGGTTAGAAATAACCGTCGAGTATCGGGACTGGCGGGAGTAGCCCTTAAATTCATTTCACGTTGTCTGCAGCGGAAAGCTGAAGCAAAAATCAGGGTTCTGGCTGAAGCCAAGTTAAATCGATCAGCGATCATATTTCCAGCCGCGATCACCGATAGCAAAATCTCCGAGGAAGAGTTTAGTTTGGTGATGTCGAAAATCGCAAAATACCACCGAATGAAAGAAGAGATTCGAACCAAGACTTCGAAAAACCACTGACATTGGCAAAGATGAGACAAAAAGCTCATAGAACAGGCCGATAACAAATCATTCAAAGATTCACCTTAAACTGTTTGGTTGATGTAAAAGCATAACCTAATAAAAATATTAAACCCTCATCGTATTACTACTACTTTTCAAGAAACTCACATTAGGTCAACACGACTGTAGGCAGTCAGGCGAGAGCAGCTGGGCAACAGCTACTGTTTAGATCAATGCACATCAAGCAAACTGTTTTTTGTAGATTTTAACATTGCTATATATAACTCATACACTTTCCAAGCTTATGTAACCCGATTTTAAAATAATTGATTGTTGCTTCTAAATATCTTTTCAGCGTCTGGTTTCAAACATCCTTTTCACTACAGTAGCTAGTATAGACGGAGCCCAGCTCAGGAGGCACAAGTGGCTCAAATATTCATGCCTTGCTTTGTATTCAATACCCGCGTGACAGGCCACAGCCAGAGAAATAGTTAGTTTGTTTTGTCTCATTTATCCCACATCAATGTTTTCCTGGTTCACTAGATATCCGACATAGTATGGACAACACTCACCTACCGTTGTGTGCGCTGTTGAGTTTGACTGTTGCTAGGTTTGGTGACCGCCTAGCAACGCCGCGGGATCAGTCTTCTCACCGTTGCTAAGCTCGGCCGCCATCTTTGTTTGGCTTAGCAACAACGGATCTGCCAGGCAAAAGTTTCCGCCGATACCCTGTCCGGAACTCGCATCGCTAGATTACGAGTCCTACGCTCTACCATCACACCACCGGGACTGCCGATCAGTAAATATTCGGAACTTTGGGTCTAGGCTGGAGGCACATCAAAGGATGCCTCTCGATAGACCCTCGCAGTTTTTAAGGGGGGCAGGGAGGCTTAATTCCCACAAATAAGCCTCTAAGCCGCATGTGTGGCAAAAAACTACTAATTAGGTCTATAGTAGGTGTATTACCTGGCACTCGTTCACACCATTAGCCAGTCTCTCGGCATAGTCATAGGCCACAGCTTGCTTCTCTGTACCACTGTCCAACAAAGGCAACATTCACTACACCATTGTGTTATACAGTTATCATCCGTATTGATGTTATAAGCATAAGCCAGCTATATTCCTGTTATACACAACAGTCACCTATATTCTTGTTATATACAACAGTCAGCTATATTCTTGTTATATACAACAGTCAGCTATATTCCTGTTATACACAACAGTCACCTATATTCTTGTTATATACAACAGTCAGCTATATTGCTGTCATATACAACAGTCAGCTATATTCTTGTTATATACAACAGTCAGCTATATTCCTGTTATACACAAGAGTCAGCTATATTCTTGTTATATACAACAGTCAGCTATATTCTTGTTATATACAACAGTCAGCTATATTCCTGTTATATACAACAGTCAGCTATATTCCTGTTATATACAACAGTCAGCTATATTCCTGTTATATACAACAGTCAGTTATATTCCAGTTATATACAACAGTCAGCTATATTCCTGTTATATACAACAGTCAGCTATATTCCTGTTATATACAACAGTCAGCTATATCCATGTTATATACAACAGTCAGCTATATCCATGTTATATACAAGTCAGCTATATTCCTGTTATATACAACAGTCAGCTATATTCCTGTTATATACAACAGTCAGCTATATTCCTGTTATACACAACAGTCAGCTATATTCCTGTTATATACAACAGTCAGCTATATTCCTGTTATATACAACAGTCAGCTATATTTGTGTTATACAACAGTCAGCTATATCCACGTTATATACAACAGTCAGCTATATTCCCTGTTATATACAACAGTCAGCTATATACCTGTTATATACAACAGTCAGCTATATCCATGTTACACACCACAGTCAGCTATATTCCTGTTATATACAACAGTCAGCTATATTCCTGTTATATACAACAGTCAGCTATATTCCTGTTATATACAACAGTCAGCTATATTCCTGTTATATACAACAGTCAGCTATATTCCTGTTATATACAACAGTCAGCTATATTCCTGTTATATACAAGTCAGTCAGCTATATTCCTGTTATATACAACAGTCAGCTATATTCCTGTTATATACAACAGTCAGCTATATTCCTGTTATATACAACAGTCAGCTATATCCATGTTACACACCACAGTCAGCTTTATTGCTGTTATATACAACAGTTAGCTATATTCCTGTTATATACAACAGTCAGCTATATTCCTGTTATATACAACAGTCAGCTATATTCCTGTTATATACAACAGTCAGCTATATTCCTGTTATATACAACAGTCAGCTATATTCCTGTTATATACAAGTCAGCTATATTCCTGTTATATACAACAGTCAGCTATAGTCCTGTCAGTCTATATTCCTGTTATATATACAACAGTCAGCTATATCCATGTTACACACCACAGTCAGCTTTATTGCTGTTATATACAACAGTCAGCTATATTCCTGTTATATACAACAGTCAGCTATATTCCTGTTATATACAACAGTCAGCTATATTCCTGTTATATACAACAGTCAGCTATATTCCTGTTATATACAAGTCAGCTATATTCCTGTTATATACAACAGTCAGCTATAGTCCTGTTATATACAACAGTCAGCTATATTCCTGTTATATACAACAGTCAGCTATATCCATGTTACACACCACAGTCAGCTTTATTGCTGTTATATACAACAGTTAGCTATATTCCTGTTATATACAACAGTCAGCTATACTCCTGTTATATACAAGTCAGCTATATTCCTGTTATATACAACAGTCAGCTATATTCCTGTTATATACAACAGTCAGCTATATTCCTGTTATATACAAGTCAGCTATATTCCTGTTATATACAACAGTCAGCTATAGTCCTGTTATATACAACAGTCAGCTATATTCCTGTTATATACAACAGTCAGCTATATCCATGTTACACACCACAGTCAGCTTTATTGCTGTTATATACAACAGTCAGCTATATTCCTGTTATATACAACAGTCAGCTATACTCCTGTTATATACAACAGTCAGCTATATTCCTGTTATATACAACAGTCAGCTATATTCCTGTTATATACAACAGTCAGCTATATTCCTGTTATATACAAGTCAGCTATATTCCTGTTATATACAACAGTCAGCTATATTATTGTTATATACAACAGTCAGTTATATTCTTGTTATATACAACAGTCAGCTATATAACTGTTATATACAACAGTCAGCTATATTCCTGTTATATACAACAGTCAGCTATATTCCTGTTATACACAACAGTCAGCTATATCCATGTTATACACAACAGTCAGCTATATCCATGTTACACACAACAGTCAGCTATATTCCTGTTATATACAACAGTCAGCTATATCCATGTTACACACAGCTGTCAGATGTATAATCTCCTACCTGACAGCATCATGATGTTGGGCCACACCCACAGCTTCCTCTGTAGAAGAAAACAGTCACATAACAACACAAACATAGACTTTAACATAAATTTGTCAAGTCCTGTTCTGTCAAAAACTTACTGAGTATTTCTATGTTATAGGTGCAGTGTTCCGTCAAGTGCTCACTGAGTATTTCTATGTTGTAGGTGACGTGTTCTGTCAAGTACTTACTGAGTATTTCTATGTTGTAGGTGGCGTGTTCTGTCAAGTACTTACTGAGTATTTCTATGTTGTAGGTGGCGTGTTCTGTCAAGTACTTACTGAGTATTTCTATGTTGAAGCTGGCGTGTTCTGTCAAGTACTTACTGAGTATTTCTATGTTGAAGGTGGCATGTACTCTGTCAAGTACTTACTGAGTATTTCTATGTTGAAGCTGGCGTGTTCTGTCAAGTACTTACTGAGTATTTCTATGTTGTAGGTGAAGGTGCGTGTTCTGTCAAGTACTTACTGAGTATTTCTATGTTGAAGCTGGCGTGTTCTGTCAAGTACTTACTGAGTATTTCTATGTTGAAGCTGGCGTGTTCTGTCAAGTACTTACTGAGTATTTCTATGTTGAAGCTGGCGTGTTCTGTCAAGTACTTACTGAGTATTTCTATGTTGTAGGTGCAGTGTTCTGTCAAGTGCTCACTGAGTATTTCTATGTTGAAGGTGGCGTGTTCTGTCAAGTACTTACTGAGTATTTCTATGTTGAAGCTGGCGTGTTCTGTCAAGTACTTACTGAGTATTTCTATGTTGAAGCTGGCGTGTTCTGTCAAGTACTTACTGAGTATTTCTATGTTGTAGGTGGCGTGTTCTGTCAAGTACTTACTGAGTATTTCTATGTTGTAGGTGGCGTGTTCTGTCAAGTACTTACTGAGTATTTCCATGTTATAGGTGGCAGTGTTCTGTCAAGTACTTACTGAGTATTTCTATGTTGTAGGTGGCGGTTCTGTCAAGTACTTACTGAGTATTTCTATGTTGAAGCTGGCGTGTTCTGTCAAGTACTTACTGAGTATTTCTATGTTGAAGGTGTGGTGTTCTGTCAAGCACTTACTGAGCATTTCTATGTTGAAGCTGGCGTGTTCTGTCAAGCACTTACTGAGTATTTCTATGTTGAAGCTGGTGGTTCTGTCAAGTACTTACTGAGTATTTCTATGTTGAAGGTGGCGGTTTCTGTCAAGTACTTACTGAGCATTTCTATGTTGAAGGTGGCGTGTTCTGTCAAGCACTTACTGAGTATTTCTATGTTGAAGGTGTGGCGGTTCTGTCAAGCACTTACTGAGTATTTCTATGTTGAAGGTGAAGTGGTTCTGTCAAGTACTTACTGAGTATTTCTATGTTGAAGCTGTTCTGTCAGATGGTTCTGTCAAGTACTTACTGAGTATTTCTATGTTGTAGGTGGCATGGTTCTGTCAAGTACTTACTGAGTATTTCTATGTTGTAGGTGCATGTTCTGTCAAGTACTTACTGAGTATTTCCATGTTATAGGTGCAGTGTTCTGTCAAGTACTTACTGAGTATTTCTATGTTGTAGGTGGCGGTTCTGTCAAGTACTTACTGAGTATTTCTATGTTGTAGGTGGCGTGTTCTGTCAAGTACTTACTGAGTATTTCCATGTTATAGGTGCAGTGTTCTGTCAAGTACTTACTGAGTATTTCTATGTTGTAGGTGGCGTGTTCTGTCAAGTACTTACTGAGTATTTCCATGTTATAGGTGCAGTGTTCTGTCAAGTACTTACTGAGTATTTCTATGTTGAAGGTGGCGTGTTCTGTCAAGTACTTACTGAGTATTTCTATGTTGTAGGTGGCGTGTTCTGTCAAGTACTTACTGAGTATTTCTATGTTGAAGGTGGCGTGTTCTGTCAAGTACTTACTGAGTATTTCTATGTTGTAGGTGCTATTATCGGTGTCCTCCAACTGGGCCAGAGCATCCATCTGTTTCACAACCTACAACAGGCAGAGGATACTTTGACATTGTGGGGTGGAACAGGTGTTAAATACAGGTCCAAAGCTAAAGTAACTCTAAGCGGTTTGTAAACCCTGATGGTATTGCCATGCTCTTGGCATAGCAAAGTCTAACAAGCATCCCATAGATGCGGTTTAGATAATATCTACCTGCAGGAAGTTGTTGGTCCTCCTGACGTAGTTCTTGAGGGCAGCTCTGCTGCTGAAGTAACCTGTCCAGTAGGCATGGGGACTATCCCCATAGGGGAAGAAGTCATCCTCCTTCGTAGTCCAGGTTTTGTCGGCCTTGTTCAGCTGGTAGGTGTAGCAGGACGGGGTGGAGTACAGCACGTTCACATTGCTGTTGTTGGCCGTTTGCTGAAACACCAAGCTGTGGTGTATATCAGCCTAACCTACTACCTACTGACTGGACATTAAGTCATTCTCCTCTACAGTCCTGACTGGACATTCTGTCAGCCTCACCTACTGCCTAATGACTCGACATTCTGTCAGCCTCACCTACTGCCTAATGACTCGACATTCTGTCAGCCTCACCTACTGCCTACTGACTGGACATTCTGTCAGCCTCACCTACTGCCTACTGACTGGACATTCTGTCAGCCTCACCTACTGCCTACTGACTGGACATTCTGTCAGCCTCACCTACTGCCTACTGACTGGACATTCTGTCAGCCTCACCTACTGCCTACTGACTGGACATTCTGTCAGCCTCACCTACTGCCTACTGACTGGACATTCTGTCAGCCTCACCTACTGCCTACTGACTGGACATTCTGTCAGCCTCACCTACTGCCTAATGACTGGACATTCTGTCAGCCTCACCTACTGCCTACTGACTGGACATTCTGTCAGCCTCACCTACTGCCTACTGACTGAACATTCTGTCAGTCTCACCTATTGCCTAATGACTCGACATTCTGTCAGCCTCACCTACTGCCTACTGACTGAACATTCTGTCAGTCTCACCTACTGCCTACTGACTGGACATTCTCACTTACTGCCTACTTACTGGACATTCAGTCAGCCTCACCTACTGCCTACTGACTGGACATTCTCACCTACTGCCTACTGATTGGACATTCTCACCTACTGCCTACTGACTGGACATTCTGTCAGTCTCACCTACTGCCTACTGATTGAACATTCTGTGAGTCTTCTCTATCGTCTACTTACTGGACATTGATATTTTGAGGTGATATCTCTTGGCAGACTGTTCTCTCAGTTCACATACATTTCACATACAGTTCATTTATAGTCCATAAATAAACACAAACCTGTTCATTCACATATCTCAAGAGTTTGTCGAGATTCTTGAACCAGGTGTGAGCATTTGAATACTGGAAGTCCGATCCCATGGTCATGATGATGTGGTCAGTCTGGTAGTGCTTGGCCTGGAGAAGGAACATGGGTATTAGTACAGTGTGGGTGGCATGTATCCTCACATGAGGACACTACAAGCCTGCCCTGTGGTGGATCAAGCTCACCTGGTCATGAGGACACTACAAGCCTGCCCTGTGGTGGATCGAGCTCACCTGGTCATGAGGACACTACAAGCCTGCCCTGTGGTGGATCAAGCTCACCTGGTCATGAGGACACTACAAGCCTGCCCTGTGGTGGATCGAGCTCACCTGGTCATGAGGACACTACAAGCCTGCCCTGTGGTGGATCAAGCTCACCTGGTCATGAGGACACTACAAGCCTGCCCTGTGGTGGATCGAGCTCACCTGGTCATGAGGACACTACAAGCCTGCCCTGTGGTGGATCAAGCTCACCTGGTCATGAGGACACTACAAGCCTGCCCTGTGGTGGATCAAGCTCACCTGGTCATGAGGACACTACAAGCCTGGCCTGTGGTGGATCAAGCTCACCTGGTCATGAGGACACTACAAGCCTGCCCTGTGGTGGATCAAGCTCACCTGGTCATGAGGACACTACAAGCCTGGCCTGTGGTGGATCAAGCTCACCTGGTCATGCACAGCTTTGAGGAAGGCAGCAACTCTATCAGGCACATTGTAGTCATGGAGACGCTCATCATCCTAGAAAATGTATTTAGCAAAAACTAAAGAAACAACAAAATATGGAAACTTTCAGATAAATAACACCATGAGAACTTTTCAATAAGGAATGGTTAATATCAAGACATTTATTACACTATAAATTACTATAGCAAACATTCGGTACAAGATGTTTAAACTAGTTGGTTACGTGAATGTTTAAACAGATTTTTAATGATGAACAAAATGAGACATTCTTTTTCAAACAAAGGCTCAGTACTGGGAGTAAAATAGACCAGCAAAGACAAATGGTGGAAGAACTGCTGGAGTATCTGGTTATATGACACCATCAAGGAGGATGACACACATACAGGGAGATGACAGTTAGATGTACAATGGATGATCAATGGAATAAGTGCCAGTAGAAATAGAAAAGACATGTTACCATACAGAACCAAGAGGACCCTGAAACAGCTCTGGTTCAGGATCCCCAACTTAGCCCTGATAAAAGATCACCAACTTAGTCCTGGTACAGGACCCAGACTTAGCCCTGAAACAGCACCCCAACATAGCCCTGATACAGGACCCCAACTTAGTCCTGATACAGGACCCCAACTTAGCCCTGATACAGGACTCCAACATAGCCCTGATACAGCACCCCAACTTAGCCCTGATACAGGACCCCAACATAGCCCTGATACAGGACCCCAACATAGCCCTGATACAGGACCCCAACATAGCCCTGATACAGGACCCCAACATAGCCCTGAAACAGCACCCCAACTTAGCCCTGATACAGGACCCCACCTTAGCCCTGATACAGGACCCCACCTTAGCCCTGATACAGGACCCCACCTTAGCCCTGATACAGGACCCCAACATAGCCCTGAAACAGCACCCCAACTTAGCCCTGATACAGGACCCCAACATAGCCCTGAAACAGCACCCCAACTTAGCTCTGATACAGGATCCCAACTTAGCACTGATACAGGACCCCAATTTAGCCCTGATACAGGACCCCAACATAGCTCTGATACAGCACCCCAATTTAGCCCTGATACAACACCCCAACATAGCTCTGATACAGCACCCCAATTTAGCCCTGATACAGCACCCCAACATAGTTCTGATACAGCACCCCAACTTAGCTCTGATACAGGACCCCAACTTAGCACTGATACAGGACCCCAATTTCGCCCTCATACAGCACCCCAATTTAGCCCTGATACAGGACCCCAACATAGCTCTGATACAGCACCCCAATTTAGCCCTGATACAGGACCCCAACATAGCTCTGATACAGCACCCCAATTTAGCCCTGATACAGCACCCCAACATAGCCATAACACAGGACCCCAACTTAGGCCTGAAACACAACCCCAACTTAGCCCTGATACAGGACCCCAACATTGCTCTGATACAGCACCCCAACTTAGCATTGATACAGCACCCCAACTTAGCATTGATACAGGACCCCTACTTGGCCCTGATACAGGACCCCTACTTGGCCCTAATACAGGACCCCAACTTAGCCCTGATACAGGACCCCAACATTGCTCTGATACAGCACCCCAACTTAGCATTGATACAGGACCCCTACTTGGCCCTAATACAGGACCCCAACTTAGCCCTGATACAGGACCCCAACTTAGCATTGATACAGGACCCCAACTTAGGCCTGATACAGCACCCCAACTTAGCATTGATACAGGACCCCAACTTATCCCTGATACAGGACCCCAACTTATCCCTGATACAGGCCCCCAACTTAGCACTGATACAGGACCCCAACTTATCCCTGATACAGGACCCAAAATTAGCCCTAATAAAGGTCCCCCACTTAGCCCTGATACAGGACCCCAACTTAGCATTGATACAGGACCCCAACTTAGGCCTGATACAGGACCCCAACTTAGCATTGATACAGGACCCCAACTTAGCCCTGATACAGGATCACCAACTTAGCCCTGATGTAGGACCCCAACACAGCCCTGATGTAGGACCCCAACTTAGCCCTGAAACAGAATCACCAACTTAGCCCTAATACAGGACCCAAACTTAGCTCTCGTTCAGGATCCCAACACAGCCCTAAGACACGATCACCAACATAACCCTGGAACAGAATCACCAACTTAGCCCTGATACAGGATCACCAACTTAGCCCTGATACAGGATCACCAACTAAGCCCTTATTGAGGGACCCACTCGGGTCACAGAAATCCATAAACATGTTGCAGATGGATCAAGCCTTCTGGAAGAGCAGAGATGTCTAACTGACAGTTACCATGATAGGTGGATCAGAGCTCTTGACATTAACATACCAGAATCCTACAGGTGGCCTGTAATGGTGATAGAGGGCCTTAGTGAAAAGGTCAGCAGAGGGGCCTGTAATAGAGGGGTGCTGCTGGACATGAAGATAAATGGGGTCCAATCCTGAAGGGTTAGAACAGGAATCCTGCATTCTATTGAAAGTCATAAAAGGTGACAAACCAATGATGACCTGGCTGGTTGCTTGGCACTATACCCTGTCAAGCAGTGATCACGATATCAGCTACTAGTTTGTCAAGCCCAAGGAGACTGAATGGATAACTGAGAACCTTTCTATTTATGACCCTGGAATCCCCAAGCAGCTACCCAGGTGAAGGTCAGAGAGGTGAAGGATGCTCAAGGGAAAGGTCTATCTGATAGCTTTACCATGACAGGTTCATCTTGACAAAAGCTATCATAGCAGAAGCCACTTGGTGGTGAATAGCCATTGAACAGGGCACCGGTGAAAAGGTCAGCTCTATCCCCTAAATACAAAAAGCAAAGGTAAGATAAGAGTGAAACAAGACAGACAAAGGCAGCACTGTGCAGTCTGCAGTTACCATGACAGGGGAATCACGGCAGGAAGCGTCATAGCAGAATCCTCCTGGTGGCCCATACCCATTGTACAGTGCTCCGGTAAACAGGTCTGCAGTCGCACCTGAACATCACAGAGCATGATAGAGCAGGACAGAACATCCTAGAGAAGCTAAACACACTGTACAGTCCTTCAGTAACTAGGTCTGACCTCAGAACATCACTACAGCATGCCAGCAGCTTCTGCAAGAGCAGGACAGAAGGTGGACGTGGAGCCAGGTGTACAGACGCTCGACACATGGGTGTTCAATGGCCATACAGACATCAGACATGACGAGACATGATGGCAGCTAGATGGCTGTTAGCTTAGTCAAGGCTGGTCCTTCATTACATCACAAAATTTGCCAAAATATGGCCAGATAAATGAATTCTGACTAATTCACTGTATCACTACTGTGCACCAATGTCCACAGTCTGTTGTGTTGTGGTCAACTACAGTGTGACATCAACGAGAACACTCGGGCACACCATCTACAAGAAACAGACAGACTATTAGTAGAGGGGGTTGACAACATGTTAGTGGAGGAATGTCAGTGTTGACAGTGTGGTAGTGGAAGAGACTGACAGTGTGGTAGTGGAAGAGACTGACAGTGTGGTAGTGGAAGAGACTGACAGTGTGGTAGTGGAAGAGACTGACAGTATGTTAGTGGAAGAGACTGACAATGTGTATGTAGGAGACTGACAATGTGTTAGTAGGAGACTGACAATGTGTATGTAGGAGACTGACAATGTGTTAGTAGGAGACTGACAATGTGTATGGTGTATGTAGGAGACTGACAATGTGTATGTAGGAGACTGAGACAGACTGAGATGTAAGACATCTGGAGAATATTTCAGCTATTCCCCCATTCATATCTGCCAGGAGCTATTCCTGTAAAGGTAAGAGTTTGAGATTACCATGATGGGGTGGTCTGTACACAGAGCATCAAAACAGAATCCTGGTGGTGGTTGGTACATGTTGGGCAACGCTCCCGTGAACAGGTCGGCCCTCCCACCTACGTCAACATACACACGGCATCACACACTGCCATTGTTGAACTACGTCAAAACTATTTTACATTTACACCTTTCCTGCCTTATTGGTTAATTTCCAAAGTGATTGAAATAAAACTAAAATAAAACTCACTACCCCTGGTAATTATTAGCTTTTGGTTTTGTAAATCTGGGTCAATAGGATATTAAAAGAAATTCAAATTTTTCATGAAGCTTTCATCAGTTTGTATTTATGGAAACAACTGATATCCTTGCATCAATAGTACCTGCCTCCGTCAAACTTCATTTTTCATTAGCTTCAATACTAGTTCTTGCCATAACTCCCCCAATTCTTATTGGATGGGAACATCGTTTACTGAAGCAATAAAAATATAATATAATATAACCCTGTAAAATCATATGAAATTTTCCATGAAATATGATAACATAATAATAGACACAAGAGGTAAATTGTTAAATTTTGCAATGTAATTTCTTGATATTCTAAGTTTTCGTTTAGTATGTTTTGTCAATATCTAGATACACTATAAATATTTCATTAAAGATGATTTGTCTACTCCTGTACAAGGACAGTGATAGTCAGCATGACCAAGACGCCAGTGGCGGACATGTCTGTGTTGTCCCGTAGCTGTGTTCTTCCATAGCTAGCTGTGTCTCCCAGTAGCTGTGTCTTCCCGTAGCTGTGTCCTCCCATAGCTGTGTCCTCCCATAGCTTGTTGTCCCGTAGCTGTGTCATCCCGTAGCTGTGTCTTTCCGTAGCTGTGTCTGCCTGTAGCTGTGTCTTCCCATAGCTGTGTCGTCCTCAGCTGTGTCGTCCTGTAGCTGTGTCATCCCCTAGCTGTGTCTTCCTGTAGCTGTCTCGTCCCGTAGCTGTGTCGTCCTGTCCTGTATCTGCATCGTTCCGTAGCTGTGTCTTCCTGTAGCTATGTCATCCTGTAGCTGTGTCGTCCCGTAGCTGTGTCGTCCTGTCCTGTATCTGCATCGTTTCGTAGCTGTGTCTTCCTGTAGCTATGTCATCCTGTAGATGTGTCATTCCGTAGCTGTGTCATCCCATAACTGTGTCGTCCTCAGCTGTGTCGTCCCGTACCTGTGTCATCATGTAACTGTGTCATCCCGTAGCTGTGTTGTCCTGTAGCTGAGTCGTCCTGTAGCTGTGTCATCCCGCAGCTGTATCGTCCTGTAGCTGTGTCGTTCCATAGCTGTGTCATCCCATAACTGTCATCAGGTACCTGTGTCGTCCCATAGCTGTGTTGTCCTGTAGCTGTGTCGTCCTGTAGCCGTGTCGTCCTGTAACTGTGTCATCCCATAGCTGTGACATTCTGTAGCCGTGTTGTCCCGTAGCTGTGTCTTCCTGTAGCTGTTTTGTCTCGTAGCTGTGTCTTCCCATAGCTGTGTCTTCCCATAGCTGCGACATCCCATAGCTGCGTCATCCCGTAGCTGCGTCGTCTTGTAGCTGTGTCGTCCTGTACCTGTGTTGTCCCATCGCTGTGTCGCCCTGTAGCTGTGTCGTTCCGTCCCGTAGAAGCGTCGTCCCGTACCTGTGTCATCCCGTAGCTGTGTCGTCCTGTACCTGTGTCATCCCATAGCTGTGTCGTCCTGTACCTGTGTCATCCCGTACCTGTGTCATCCTGTAGCTGTGTTGTCCCGTAGCTGCGACATCCCGTAGTTGTGTCGTCCCGTAGCTGTGTCGTCCTGTACCTGTGTTGTCCCATCGCTGTGTCGCCCTGTAGCTGTGTCGTTCCGTCCCGTAGAAGTGTCGTCCCGTACCTGTGTCATCATGTAACTGTGTCATCCTGTAGCTGAGTCGTCCTGTAGCTGTGTCATCCCGCAGCTGTATCGTCCTGTAGCTGTGTCGTTCCATAGCTGTGTCATCCCATAACTGTCATCAGGTACCTGTGTCGTCCCATAGCTGTGTTGTCCTGTAGCTGTGTCGTCCTGTAGCCGTGTCGTCCTGTAACTGTGTCATTCCATAGCTGTGACATTCTGTAGCCGTGTTGTCCCGTAGCTGTGTCTTCCCGTAGCTGTTTTGTCTCGTAGCTGTGTCTTCCCATAGCTGTGTCTTCCCATAGCTGCGACATCCCATAGCTGCGTCATCCCGTAGCTGTGTCGTCTTGTAGCTGTGTCGTCTTGTAGCTGTGTCGTCCTGTACCTGTGTTGTCCCATCGCTGTGTCGCCCTGTAGCTGTGTCGTTCCGTCCCGTAGAAGTGTCGTCCCGTACCTGTGTCATCCCATAGCTGTGTCATCCCATAGCTGTGTCGTCCTGTACCTGTGTCATCCCGTACCTGTGTTGTCCCGTAGCTGTGTCTTCCCGTAGCTGTGTCGTCCTGTAGCTGTGTCTTCCTGTACCTGTGTTGTCCCATTGCTGTGTCGCCCTGTAGCTGTGTCGTTCCGTCCCGTAGAAGTGTCGTCCTGTACCTGTGTCATCATGTGGATGTGTCATCCCGTACCTGTGTCATCCTGTAGCCGTGTTGTCCCATAGCTGTGTCTTCCCGTAGCTGTTTTGTCTCGTAGCTGTGTCTTCCCATAGCTGAGTCGTCCCATAGCTGCGTCATCCCGTAGCTGTGTCGTCCTGTACCTGTGTCATCTCGTCGCTGTGTCGCCCTGTAGCTGTGTCGTTCCGTCCCGTAGAAGTGTCGTCCCGTACCTGTGTCATCCCGGACCTGTGTCATCCTGTAGCCGTGTTGTCCCGTAGCTGTGTCTTCCCGTAGCTGTTTTGTCTCGTAGCTGTGTCTTCCCATAGCTGAGTCGCCCCATAGCTGCGTCATCCCGCAGCTGTGTCTTTCTTGTAGCTGTGTCGTCCTGTAGCTGTGTCACTGTGGTGAATCAGTCAGCATGGATGTGTTTAGCATTTTTTCAGGTGTTGGCAAGTACAGAGATGACAGGACAGCACAGTAGCTGTGTCATCCTGTAGCTGTGTCGTCCTGTAGCTGTGTCGTCGTGTAACTGTGTCGTCCTGGTCGTCCTGTAACTGTGTCGTCCTGTAACTGTGTCTTTCTGTAGCTGTGTCTTCCTGTAGCTGTGTCTTCTTCGTAGCTGTGTCACTATGGTGAATCAGTCAGCATGGATGTGTTGAGCATTTACTTCAGGTGTTGGCAAGTACAGCGATGACAGGACAGCACCATGATTTACTAACACGATGACCTTGAAGTTTGACCAGTCTTGACCACCAAATGTTCAAAGCAGGGTCTCAGAAGGTGTACGCCAAGTTTACTGATAAATGCATTAATAAATTTTGGGAAAGTGTGGCTATATACTATTCTGTGATTTATTTCTATATCTTGAACTTTCATGACAAACATACATAGTCACTACACAACAATCACCAGAAGCAGTCAGATTCCAACAAAACCTCAAGGCAGCCCTGTTTCAGTGGCCGATAATTACTGGCGAACTGATTGTGTATACAGTTGTTAAATATTGTTTTAAAAATTGTGATGGTAAAATGCTCCCTAATCAGTATGAAAATACTATTTGAAATTCAAAACATACAGAAAGAATATAACTCATATTCCTGTCATTTAACACCATAGCAATTACACAAATGGCAAGGAAATATTCTGTCAAGTTTTGGACAAAGAATAAACAAACTGACCAATATTTTTTGGGCTCCCTCTCCAAATCATTTCCATCGTCGTATGGTTCAGTCTCCTGTTCTTGTCAGCATAGTCGAGACGCCCAAAATACAGACCATCATATCCCATCTGCATATGGTGAACAAATTGTTGTATCAGTAAACAGTAAACACATAATCTGGCATGGTGTATTGGTCAGTACCAATGGGCTGCCCTGTCAGTAATCACATACATCTGCCATGGTGTATTGGTCAGCACTGATGGGCTGCCCTGTCAGTAATCACATACATCTGGCATGGTGTATTGGTCAGCACTGATGGGCTGCCCTGTCAGTAATCACATACATCTGGCATGGTGTATTGGTCAGCACTGATGGGCTGCCCTGTCAGTAATCACATACATCTGGCATGGTGTATTGGTCAGCACTGAAGGGCTGCCCTGTCAGTAATCACATACATCTGCCATGGTGTATTGGTCAGCACTGATGGGCTGCCCTGTCAGTAATCACATACATCTGCCATGGTGTATTCATGGGGATGGGGAATCACAAAACTTACAAATTGATTAAATCTCTCCTTGACACATGTTAAACTACATGGCCAGGTAAAATAAGAATACTCTTATTCAAATTTGGATTTGGTCTTGCGTGAATATCGTTTGCATCGGATCATTGTACCAAGTTTCAGACAATGATTTTATGACTGCTTCCTTCAACACTGGCATCACTCTCCACCATTTCGTAAACATACAGTTACCATTCTCAGTACAATATTCTTTTGTCATGTGCTCAGATGAGAAACTTCATTCTATGACTTTAACATAATAACATTATATCATTAGACTGAATCTGTATATGGAGAATGTGCATTTAATAACATGTACATCATGTTTGTAACAAAGTCCTGATCTCTGGAGCATTGGTGACCAGTCCATGACATTGGCAGTTGACGTGTCCACCAGTGCTGATGACCGACTGCCAAAATTAACCATCAGGTACCACTTGACCATTCTATAATCAAAACCATCTGCACCCCCTCACTCTGCACGTCATGTGACTTCCAAGCTGATCTGTCCATGGATGAACAATTTTACAAAAGAAACTTTAGAAAATTTAATGTTTTATTCCATTTTCTTTTAAGAACACTTGGTTATGTCTCAGTGAAGCCTTCCACACATTTTCTTATTGTAGGGAGAAAATAATGAATGTGTCATTCAGGACAAGTTATTAAGCTTAAGCTCACACGTTTTATCATTTTCAACCTTTGTATTTGTGAGAAGGCCTCACAAGCTGTAGTACACTCTTGATTGTGACCTGGAACAAAGGTCAAAACACTGATATCGATCTGCCTCTTATCTCCGAAGGACTTCTGAATCACTTCTAACAAAGGTCACTATCCGCACTTCAGTAAATAGTTTCTGTACCATCAACTACCATGGGAGCCTAGGTTATCTTATCATCCGGTCATCTCCTCACATAGGAACAACTGTAATACCTGTGTACTTAGGTTTAACCTGTATCTGTTTTCTGACATTCATTATCAGAGGCAGACTGTCTCACCTGACATTCAGTGACACCACATCTCACCTGACATTCAGTGACACCACATTTCACCTGACATTCAGTGACACCACATTTCACCTGACATTCAGTGACACCACATTTCACCTGACATTCAGTGACACCACATTTCACCTGACATTCACTGACACCACATTTCACCTGACATTCAGTGACACCACATTTCACCTGACATTCAGTGACACCACATTTCACCTGACATTCAGTGGCACTACATCTCACCTGACATTCAGTGACACCACATCTCACCTGACATTCAGTGACACCACATCTCACCTGACATTCAGTGGCACTACATCTCACCTGACATACATCTCACCTGACATTCAGTGACACCACATCTCACCTGACATTCAGTGACACCACATCTCACCTGACATTCAGTGACACCACATCTCACCTGACATTCAGTGGCACTACATCTCACCTGACATACATCTCACCTGACATTCAGTGACACCACATCTCACCTGACATTCAGTGACACCACATCTCACCTGACATTCAGTGGCACTACATCTCACCTGACATTCAGTGACACCACATCTCACCTGACATTCAGTGGCACTACATCTCACCTGACATTCAGTGGAACCATGTCACACCTGACATTCAGTGGCACTACATCTCACCTGACATTCAGTGACACCACATCTCACCTGACATTCAGTGACACCCCATTTCACCTGACATTCATTGACACCACATCTCACCTGACATTCAGTGGCACTACATTTCACCTGACATTCAGTGACACCACATTTCACCTGACATTCAGTGACACCACATCTCTCCTGACATTCAGTGGAACCACATCTCACCTGACATTCAGTGACACCACATCTCACCTGACATTCAGTGGAACCATGTCACACCTGACATTCAGTGGAACCATGTTTTACCTGACATTCAGTGGAATCATGTCTCACCTGAAATTCAGTGGAACCATGTCTCACCTGACATTCAGTGGAACCACGTCTCACCTGACATTCAGTGGAACCATGTCACACCTGAAATTCAGTGGCATCCATGTCTCACCTGACATTCAGTGGAACCACGTCTCACCTGACATTCTGGAACATTCACACCTGAAATTCAGGGCACCACGCCTCACCTGTGGAACATTCAGTGGAACCACGTCTCACCTGACATTCAGTGGAACCATGTCACACCTGAAATTCAGTGGAATCATGTCTCACCTGACATTCAGTGGAACCACGTCTCACCTGACATTCAGTGGAACCATGTCACACCTGAAATTCAGTGGCACCACGTCTCACCTGACATTCAGTGGAACCATGTCACACCTGACATTCAGTGGAACCACATCTTACCTGACATTCAGTGGAACCATATCTCACCTGACATTCAGTGGCACCACGTCTTAATCAGTATATATTTGTCATTATGTCTTTCCTGAGTCCTATCTTACCTGTGCAAACAGAGAAGCTTGTTCTCGTGAGTGTCCAAATGGATCAACCTGCCAAGCTATCCGAGGACGACCACACTCTCCAAAATTGGTCCTGAGGAACTCTAGTCCCAGTGCATGCTGGTCGATAATTGCATTGTAGTGTGTGGAAGCCTCATCATTCATGCACCATCCTCCGAGGATAAACTCAAGACGACCTACGACCAAAATAAACACATCAAATAAAATACATGAATCTCTGAAGGAAGAATAACTGGAGCTGTCTGAGGGTTACTTGTCAACGTGATCATGATTTGGTTCGCAGTGAAACATCTCCAGTGTAACACGTAACCAAATGATTTGATATCATGATCCTACACAGGGCACAACAAACTATGTTATAAATGCAGGTAACTTCTTCGAGTGGCATTTTAAAACTCCTGCCTGACAACGGTACAAAAATCTGTATCAAAATGTCACACTCATGAATTAAAGAAGTTGTTATCCATAAAGTTTGTTCAATTAATGTTACAAATGCTAATATATAATCAACAGATTTTCTGAATACAGACTTGCATGAGATCTATCTTTGTTGACCACATGTCTCACCTTCCTTGACAAGTCCCCTGACCACATGTCTCACCTCCCTGACAAGTCCCTTCACCACATGTCTCACCTCCCCGACAAGTCCCCTGACCACATGTCTCACCTCCCTGACAAGTCCCTTCACCACATGTCTCACCTCCCTGACAAGTCCCTTCACCACATGTCTCACCTCCCTGACAAGTCCCCTGACCACATGTCTCACCTCCCTTGACAAGTCCCCTGACCACATGTCTCACCTTCCTTGACAAGTCCTCTCACCACATGTCTCACCTTCGTTGACAAGTCCCTTCACTACATGTCTCATGCTGTCATCCTGCTCCCGCCACCACCGGGCAAAGAAAGCGATTTCCACATAGATGAAACGGCGTGTGGGGTCCTTCTGCAGCTCCGGGATGACCGAGTCAAGGATGTACTGCACCCCCGCAGTCTGAATATCATTATGGTCTGTAACAACACAAACCAAACATAGCAATTATGTTGTACAGAAGTACAGTATGGTTAACCAGGGCCTGATATAAGCACTTAGAACTTGCATTGGTGCAACCTGAAACTGCTAACTGCAACCATTTATGTATATCAACTTGCACCCAGTGCACGTTAATATTTTGTGTTCAAAGAACACAAACTTCAGCTTGAAAACAGAATGATGAGGAACTGGCTTGGAGTAGTGACTCTGAACAGTACTGCATGAACAGTGACTGAAGGACGTACTTTATTGTTCATGAAGGTCTAGGAAGTAAGATAAATAATCTTATCAGACCCAGAATGTTTTTTTGTAATGATGTTCAGTTCTAAACCATCTTTACCAAAACTCAAGCATTATATAAGATTCTATATTGAGCAGCAGGTGCAAACTGTTTTTGTTTGGTGCCTTAGGTTGCACTGGGTGCAAGTAGGTTTCATTGCCTTAAATCGAGCCTTGTTAACACAGGTTCAGTATGGATAAGCAGTAGAGTATAGAACCTTGTTCAGTAAGGTTAACCAGCAGAGTATAGTTAACTGTTGAAACATTGTTAACTGGTATGTTATTGCTAGCTGGCAAAATATTTTTAACTGGTAGAATTAGAAATACCAGGTTGCGTTGCGTTATTGTTAACAGGGATAGTAAGAATAACTGAAAACAAGAGATTAACTGAGAAATATTGGCAGTTTGACAGGTATAATTAACTGGTATACCATGGCTTAGTTTGCATCCAGTACCAGTCAAATCAGTAACTCTAACCTACTGAATTCAATATTCATACCAATCACAGCATACAAGTATTTACAGAAGCATTGATGGCAGACAATGATAGATCTGTCAATTAAATATTCAATAAATGAAACTGCTTTGTTCTGAAACAAGCTGGATTATAACAAATATATGCTAAATATAATTAAGGCAGTAAGGAATTTAATAATGTACCTACCTCCGTAGAAATACTGATCCACAGTCTTGAGCCAGCCAACATCATCGTGTGTGTGCGGAACTATGTGTACATTGATCATCCCGTCCTTCACCGGGTTACAGCTCTGAACAAGAGGATATCCATCATATAGGCAAGATAGAACAATACAAGAATGGAGATCAAAACAGATTGGGGAGCATATGATAAACCACAACAGCCTAATGGCCAGTGGGTGACCTCTTTGGTCTTGATGGGATGGCATTCATCACGGGACTCTATGGCCGCTACAATACCAGTATGATCTGACGATAATAATAAGGTCTTATAGATTTATGGGTGGATGTCGGAAATCATGTGTAACGAAACTACCGGGAAGCGAAATGACACCGTTCTACTTACTTCGTAGCCGCATGTGGGGGCATCTATCGTGAAGTCGCTGCTATAGCCTGGACGAGAAACTGTCATACATATCTGTTGCAGAAACAGCAGAACCAAAACGAGCAACCTGCAAACCTCCATTTTGTTCTGTCATGTGACTTCGGCGGAAATTCAAATGTTACGGTGCGCAACACAAGCAGCAGAATCAGTCTACTCGTTAGCTGGTTCCTGGCTCCCTGTGCGCGTTGTCAACTTGCGGCAAAGTATATTGCGATGTGTGAGACGGGGCTTAGATTGGCAGACGTGAACCTAGTACAGTCGCTGCGACATTGTAAAACATATATTTAGCACATCTCTTCAATATTATTGTTACAAATTATATTAGTATGTACGGTTTGTGGTCATTTAATACAGCTACTGTCTAGTCAAACTGTAATTTAGGTTCATTTCTTCATTATATTATTGATATAAGCGACTGATCTGAGAATCATCATGGCTACTTGTCAACAGATATAAACATGCCACAGAAGAGCCCGAAACAAAGCAGCATTTGACAGAATGCTTGATAAAACACTTCGAAATATGGTAATTACATAGATTGTCACATAACATGTGATTTATATCTCCGTTTCATGATTCCAATCCAAGCAGTTGAACACGAGGTTTATTCGGTAGACTGCAGTGGACAGGTGGAATGATTGGGTCCATTCACATGAAAGTAAATTAAAGCGTGAAATTTGTAAATTTAGAAAATGGGGCCTGCACAAATAAAACCAGCGAATCTACATGACGAACTCATCTTTGCCGAGACATGGTACGAACAAAGGATTGTATGGGAGTTCATTTATCTAAAGGGGTCGTACTCGCACGGGTACTGTTACTACTGGCAAACAAGGATAAGTTGGACCGGCGCAGAGAACGCGTTTACGAGAAGTAGGCGGAGCACGGCAATGAACAAAGCCATTTGGTTTGTGAAAGGTAGAACAGATAAAGTCTGTGAAAGGTAGCCTAGTGCACGTGCATTGCATGGCGATTAAATTGATTCCACGCGTAGCTGCACATGCATAAGACTTTTATATCGGTGTAGCAAGTTGCACTACACTTTATCGTGGACAACATGCGGCCCCTTCGCTAACAATGGGCAGCACTCATACATGCTAATATGGGTCAACTGTCAGGTCGGTGCTCAACTTATCCTTGGTTGCCAGTAGATTTGTACCGGGAACGAATGTTATAGCGAAACAGGAGCACTTTACTTATTCCGTTACCATTGTTTTAGCTACTTCCGCTTGTTGTATATAGGAGTCTAACACTAACACTAACCCTGCTAACACTAACCTTAAGTTTCCCTCCGATCATGCGCAGAAAATATGTTTAGTGGTACCAGTCTTAGTAAATGTATCTGCAAAACATTTTCAAGGAAATTCTCTTTCTGATATACAGACCCATGCCAGTTATATTCGGACGCTTGACATAATTTACATAGACTCACATGTTATTTCAGTGTAGCATAAATAATTTTCTTGAAGTGACAGGCAAATATGAAATCATCTCTGCTTTCTGCACATAATTTCAATTCAATTTTCTGACCACTATTTAACTAATGACATCACATTTATTATTTACTTATGTATGGTTCCACAATGCACAATCCCATAGGCCGCCACGTTAAAGGAGTTCACGGCACTGTAGGCATGTTGATTAAATTGTTGCCATTCGATAAATAGGTAGCGGAAAATTAAACAGAAATTATGTGATTGTAGGTAAGATGATTCCTCGCAACTGTGCAAAATTTGACTTGTATCTTACGAAAATTAAATTCATGAAAATTATTTTTTCTACACTAAATTAACATGCATGTCTATGGAAATTACATCAAGTGTCCGAATATGACTGGCACGGGTCTGTAGATAATGTATATTTCATCACAATCGGATTTGATTTAATCAATGTTAAAAAACACCACTGACAGTATGTTGTAATTGCTGTGATGAAAGTCTTTATGTTTAATTATTAAATGATGTAGAATAAATATGGACTGAGTATATTCGAATTTTTATTACAGTTAATTCAATGCTTATTCATTCATGAACATGTCTGTTAGTATAGAACAAACTTTATGGATAACAACTTCTTATTCGTGAGTGCGACGTTTCGATACCGATTCTTGTACCGTTGTAAAGTTTGTTCTATATTGTACTTCCCAACTTCTAAAATGCCACTCAAAGAAGTGTCTGTTAGGTCTAACACTGTGTGTAATAGTGTGAAAAGGAATGTAATGTTGCAATATTTTATTACCAGGTTAGCAAAGACATACATCTGACCTGCATCCTTAATGAAGTCAACAAAATATGTCACAAGATGTCGACACATTCCTTCTGCGACAGCGTGTGTTGAGTGTTGGATCCGAGAGAGAGTTGGATGATTTAGCCGCAGCTCGCAGTGGAACATCTACTGACCTGCAGACTCTGCACCAGGTCAGGGAAACTATGGAAGACAGCCATGACAATGACTCCTACCTAGACATGTACCGTCCTGGGACTGCAAAACCACCTCACCATCATCGGGCAGATGAGGATGAAGCAGCTCGTTCAACACACACAACATCACAGGGTGACCGGGATGTCAAACACAGGACTGCTACAAAAAGTCCAAAGGTCACCTGAGCGAAAAAACACTCAAAACCTAAATCAGTGGACTGTTGATGCCTCTGGCAGTGCACCAATTACTGGAAGTCCTGTTAAAGTTAAAGAAAATCTGCCTGAAGTTGAGATAGTAAAAGCCGGAGCAGCAAAGGGAGACTACTCTGAAGAAGCTGGTGTAAGTGAGGATGTTTCTCGAGGTCCCCGGTACTCTAGTCACAGAAGTTACAGTGAAATTATGGATAATATGTCTGTTCAGGATCCATTCAATGCAGACCCTGAGTATTCAGGAAAATCAAAATCTTCTAAAATTCCAAGGAAGAAGAAAAGCCTTTCCCATGACCAAAGTTCTGATTCGATTCCAATGGGCAAGGTTTCAAAGCACTTTGCTAAAGAACCAAAGAAACTAAGGAAAAAGCACAGACATCATCACCAAGGTAGTGAGTCCCTCAACAGTACTGCTACCTATGTGATTGAGCCAGGCATTGTAAACGATGGATACGATGATTCAGGGAACGGTACAAGAAAAGGGAGCAAAGGTGTTGTTGATGACCATGTAAGCAATGCGACATATACACTGTCTGAAGGGGAGCCTGACAGCCAGGGTCTGAAGGAAAGTTTCAACAAGTTCATGCGCAAACTGAATACAGTGAAAGTACCATCGGGGCCATCTGAGACTGGAAGTTCTTTGAACCAGGTATGTTATTAATGATAGGATATATACAGTAATGATCAGAAAAAATGCGACTTTTCACAGACGTAGTTTCAAAATTTATTTACTGATCAATTCAGTTATATTTTTCTTACATCCACTCTGGATACTGAAGTTTACATTTATGCAAGTCAATAGTCTGTTAGTCCACCGTTTCTCTCGATGCACTGCTGAATACGACGTCCCATGCTGTCAATCAAATTGTCTATGTAGCCCTGGGGTAGGTCCACCCATATTTGACTGATGAGATTAGATCACTCAACGACACTCTTCGGTTCCAACTTTTCTAATTTGTCCTTCATAATCTGCCACACATTTTCAATTGGGTTCAGGTCTGATGCCACTGGAAAATTCTGTAAGGTCACGTGACTCGTTTCAAACCAGTTACAGGTGTGTCTTGACTTGTGTACAGGTGCATTGTCCTGTATAAGTTTGAAAGGTATTCCACTCTGTCCTATATGGGATTCCACTATGCCTTCTTGTATAAGTTGACAGTACTTGCGTGAATCCATCCTTCCTGTAATAGTTAGCAGCGGCGTTACCCCAAGTTTGCCTATACCACCCCAAACCATGACACTGGGTGAGAACTTCAGAACCAGTTTGCAGTTACGTCCACCTCTTGACCACCTCTTTCTTGTGATCCTATAATACTGAAACTTTGATTCGTCCGTAAAAATCTCATTTGAAAAGTCTGTACCCTGCATTTCCCTCCACCACTCCAGCCTTTTCTCCATGTGTGCTGTTGTCATCAATGGAACTTTCTTCGGCACGCACTTAACATATCCAGATTGCTTTAAAGATCTTCTGATTGTCTATTCTGATACCTTAGGGGTTCCTTGACTTGACGCCTTCACGGCAAGCTGTTTTGCAGACCAGTTTGGGTACACCACTGCGAGACGTGCAATACGTCGTCTGTCATTTGCCCCAAGAGTAACACAACGTCCTGATCCAGCCTGTCGCTCTGTCCCTAACCCTGCATCAAATTTCTTCAAATTTCGGTAAACAGAGGCCCGATGCAGTCCCGTCAGTTTCACAAGTCTAGTTACGGATCTAATACCTGCTTCATAATATCCCAAGAGTCGATTTCTGTTGTTTTGTAACGTCATGGCAAAGCTTCGGCATCGTCTGCTAGCAATGAGGTCATGTGATCAAGCCATCCCTAAACCCAAGGGAGATAATTCCAAACCAACGAGGCAAGCTACTGGCGGCTTTCGGCTTTTTTGATAGTGGGATCAAGTCTACAGAAAAAAGTTTTTTTTTGCTCGTTACTATATATATATATATAGCACATATATCCGCGCAACTAGTACATGCTCAAGGCACTGTTTTTTCCCTTGGTCATTGGATGTCTGTCTCAACGGCACATCGTATTATCTATCTCCCTTGGGATCATACAACTCTTGCAGCAACTAGGCACACCAAGTTATTGCGTCTTTCCCATCCTTACGACTAATACGAGGCCTTACGATATATCATTACACGAGGAGCCCTTCCTGGACCGTCAGTGGAGGAGCATGTATACAACTCCATATTACTGACACTATTAATTATCTAATCATTTTGCTGATCACACCATTCATATTCATTTGTTTCAGAAAGCAGTTTCTAGATTTATTTCAAGGAAAATAAACCAACGAGAGTGTAAGAAATTTGCAAAAGACAAAAACTCCAAAACGTAAGTCTTTCTTCTGAAACTGTCATGATAGCTGGCAGGCGAGTGTTTCTATCTCATAGTTATTGTGACTATAAACATGCTTAGTGACAGCAATTCCATTGTGATAAGTACTGCTTAATACTTATCATGCTTATATAAGTTATAACAATTCTCCATGTAATCCTTTATTATAAACATTGTATGTAAAGTTATTATAATTGTACCCTGTTTTTACATGATTATATAGGATTGTTCGTCATGACTGTACCTATTATATCGGTGCAGTGTAGACATGATCATGATGATTAAACCAGGCCTGCTTGCAGAATATCATCATGATGATTAAACCAAGTCTGCTTGCAGAATATCATCATGATTATAAGTGGTTGCAGCAAACTCAAAGGGACCACTATTTTTAGTTCTATAAAACAGTTCTTATACATATTTCGACCAATCTATCCAGGGACTGGGACTAAGAAGACAGTTTGTGGTGTCTGTCAGTTCATTATACGTGTGGTCGTGGACTGTACACATGGTGTTTTACCAAGCATAGCTTTTACACAGATAAACAGATTTTGTTTATTGCAAATTGCTGTCAAATTTAAATTAATGATGACATTGACAATCAAGGGTTAATTAGTTCAAGGATTGCTGTTAAAGATGGGTCTACATACTGACATCCTCCCATCGTTACCTTGAAGTACTGATACTGTTGTGGTGCAAGAATTTCACCTTTCAGTACATAGTGAATTGCTGGAATCATGTCCAGTTTGTTATTCTGCTTCTTTTGATTAATCCTCCAGGAATGCGTGTCTATGTGGCCGACCAATACAATGGCACGAAGACCAAGGCATCCAGGTAGACCTGAAGAAACACGAGATCTGGAACATGAAGACACACACTGTTACAAAGCCATGTGATTCCTTCGGAGAAATTCTTTTTCGAGGATTCGGACATGATGTCTCTAACTCTCCAGTATGTAACTATGTTATCCACACATACTAAGGCGGGAAATAAGGGAAACAGTTTGTGCGTCATGTCAAATTGCTGGGACCTTTTAGCCATACACTACTAGTTACTAGTGTGATTTCACTTCCTGTTTTAAACTTACAATCCCGGGCCCAATTGCACAGAACAATCTTAGTTACAATCAATCTTAGGGCCTTACAATCAACTTGGTGGGGTAGCCTAGTGGCTAAAGCGTTGACTCGTCACGCCGAAGACCCGGGTTCAAATCCCCACATGGGTACAATGTGTGAAGCCCATTTCTGGTGTCACCCGCCGTGATGTTGCTGGAATATTGCTAAAAGCGGCGTAAAACCAAACTCAGTCAGTCAGTACAATCAACTTTACAATCACCATACAATTGCCCTAATTCATTTGCACAAAGCCGATATTAGTGGATTGTAAGACGGCATGGATTTAAGATCACGATCTTAACTAAGATCGAAAACATCAACGGTAGGTAGGAATGTCTTGAACTCGACTCCTGTCTACAGTTGTCTGCAAATGTGCATAGCTAGCTGCACATTTAAAGAGTGGAACTGGTTACTGCACACAATCCATAACTCCCTCAGTCGCACCTTGCAGAATTTTCATGAAAAAAATTTCCACAAATCTTTGAAGGAAACGATTACGTGAAGATAACACACATTTTTCTACATTCTTACTGTCTGGATTTATAAAAATATAAACAAAATATCCTTATGATATAGCACCTAAATGTCTGGTTGGCCAATGGTTGCCAATGAAACGTTTAATACGCATCTATTTGGGGGATTTGGTGTAAAACCCCAAATATATCCCTCAAGTATAATTTTTGTAAAGATATGAAAAGGTGACATGACTACGGGAGTGTTGTGGAAAATGCATGACAGGGAAATATGAAGAATAAATATAGTTGCAGGCAAAGATGTGGGCTCCTTGGCTTTAGTTCTATTTATCTATCTATTGTATCTGAGGGCTAGAAATCATCGTCCAAAACGGAGCCAGAACACGTTTTTGACAGGCGAGCGATCTTCCAAATACAGCCGGGGTTGCGGGGGGTGATGTACCTTTTAAGAAGTTCTGGAGAAGAAATAGTTCCCTCTTTAAAAGGCTGTATCTCAGTTGTTCTTGGGTCTGTGGTCAAAACAATTAGTGTTCTGGAATCACCAAGCCTTCATCTGCCATACTGCTTTTACTACCGTCTTCGCCATGCCTGTGGCTTTGACTCCAAGGTCCACCCATGGTACGACCCTGAACATGTCCAGGGCGTCATGGAAAATGATGCTTTCAAACTTCTGTGGAACAGGCCCATATACAGCCTCAGAAGAATTATCGTACAGGCTAGTGAATTTCCCTGGACTTATGACTCGACGCAGGGCGGCGTAAATATCGAAGCTATGAACATCCACCCCGACGCGTCTGAACAACCGTTTCGATCAATCTCCACATGCTGATAATGAGAGACGTAAGACGAATCTTTAGTAAGGGGGCAACACCGTGTCGTGAGGGACAATGATCAATTCGTCTCGGACGAATCCCCTACCCGGTCTGTCTTGCAAGTAATACAGATTCTGTTCGTCGTCTTTGATGTCCACTCGGTCGATTCGGTACGTTTTCATGGACCATACGGGGTCTGTGGCGGACGTTTATCCCCTCCTTAGAGTTCACCGGGCTGGTACAGATACCTCACAACGACCCGGTCCAGTAGTTTTTTCTACCGATGGCACAGCCGATGCGGTCATCACAGATTTCATACGAATGGTGTCGACAGGTCTTTTATCAAGGCGTCGAGTGGCTTCGTTGTTGATTGCCGACACCACTCGCGGTAAGCGTACGACCCATTCTGTCGATCGTTTTTCTGGGTTGACCATCTCTCGAGTATACTGACGTCCGAACCGATGGCTTGGCTTCTGTGAGCTCCAGCCACGCCTCGTCTCACCTGGACTTCATGCTTCAATAACAGCTGCGACACGGCTCCCATGAACTCGCGTCTGGGATCGACTTGTAATTCGGTCGACCTGGTCAAGCGACTGCGTTTGTAGATATGTTCTAAGGCCTTAGCGACTTGACTCTACTCTTTGGTCGTTAACGACTCGGCCTCCTTGTAGCGACTGGCAACGTCCACGATGGTCAGGGCGTACTTGTACGTTTTGTTTCTCACCCTGTCGTGCCGGAGAAACAGGAGGTCGGCTTGATGGGTACGATTGGATACGGAAATGTCAAACTTTCTTCTCGGGATGTATCGGGGAGCCGGCAGGTTCGCTTGCCAGATGGCTTGTTTTTTAAGCCAAGCTTTGGTGGCATCCTTAGAGGCGCGAGCGGCTTTGGCTAGCTTCGGGACAGCGTCCACACCTTTCCAGTAACCCCGAGGGCCGTAGTAAACCTTCTCCATGATGTATACACGCTATTATCCATTCAATAGTCTGTCTAGACCTCAACGCATAGAGTGGAGTTTCCTTTATTGGGGGTCTCGGAAACACCCAACGCGTTGAGGTCTACTGTTGGTATCCATAGCTATAAGCTTCCCTGATGTTTTTCTCTTCGCGTTGTAAGAATGTGAGAAACGTTTAGGCTGTGTCGGGACCTCAGTAGATCACGGGAGTCTCTGTTTCATCGTCACATCGAACGACCACGTACCCGAACCTGCAGGCTTGGTGTTCTTGGGTTTTGTACGTAAAACTTTTTTCCGGGGATGGCGCGATGTGGGCGGCCCGTTTGATGAGTGCTTCGAAGTCGGCGTAAATGACGTAAGGCATGGGCATTTGATGTTTGTGGTTGATGAATTTTAAGATGTTTTCATGTTCTCGAGGCATGTCGATTCGGATCGCCGTCTCTCCCACACCTCGGCAGTCTGCGCAGACTTTTAATATGTGTATAGTGATACTTACCCTTTTCGATCATAAATAAATTGATTCTGCGCACATCATCGGCCATGGAGCTGATTTGGTGTACGATGGTCGTATTGCCTTCGTGGCCGAAGACATTGATGGCTAAATGGTTTAGTTTTTCAAATCGGGTCCAGTAGGAAATGGGTGTGGGTTTAACTAAGCCATCCCAGTTAAGCCCGTCGTCTTCGGAGTAGCTCGAAGGTCTATTCTTATTAATAGCTACTGGAAATAAGCCAGCTCTCACCGAATATACTGCACAAGCATCGTCTTTATTTTTAATGTTATTAATGGCTTTTTTATTTCTGTAGTAAGGTGGCAAGTCTAGGTACGATGTGCCTTTGAATGGTACGTAGTTCGCTATATCCAAAAGATGGTGTTGATACTTACCACCACCCACCCGGAGCCCCTGTGCGTCCATCGTTCCAACGATTCTTGTATTTTTTGTAGCGAGGTATCGAGGGATCGAGGGTGAATTGAAGTACGACTTCCTGCTTGCCTCTGAAGTAAGGCTTGATGGACTCGGTACTGCCATCCGTCTGCTGTTTGTTGAGCGACATGTGGATGGTCAACTGGTATTTGATACTTTTTAAATCATCCAATTTTTCCTTATCCTGACTCATGTTTATTTGCTTGTCTTCTTCTTCTGGCGAACCTAGTGGAACACTTGTATCTCCCAATTGAAGCTCCCTTCAATAAAAAATCACTCATTAGTACTGACCACGTGTTACCTCCCTTCCACAAGCTCGGGAACGAGGGCGCCACCTGAACCCATGTGCCTCACTCTCTCCTTCTTCGCCCAGTGAGCAAGACGTGAGAGCACCCGTGTCTCCCTGCACACTATATCCTTTATTTATATTTAGTTTGTTACCTCTTATATTCATCTATAGAGGTGTAACTAGTATCATTATTCAACATGCATTGATAATTATTAGCGTGTTTCTGCTGCTTGATTCACGGTTCACGTGGTTTGCTCAGCAGTTTATGCTTAATAAAATCTGCACTGTTTGTAAATTACGTTACTCTGCTACCGATCCACATTTAAAATGCCCTAGTTGCATTACTCCATGTTCTATTGTTTCTCGTTGTAAAATTATGTATTAATTTACCAATTTCTGCCTTTGATAAATATTTATGTTCCGCTTTTGAGACGGAAGGCAGATAAATCTCGAAACAATCTTCAGTCATGGCTAATAGATCGGAGTCAGATATATCCTGAGTTACTTTCGGGATAAGCGTGGGGCGAGTCCGCTATATCTAGAAGCGACCTGCTTCCCAGGACGCTCCTTCATCACAGTCTAAAACTAGAAGAACTTCCACGCCGCCTCAACGTATGCTCCGAGCCCCAAGGTCTACAGCCTCGTCAAAGGGAAATCCACGAAGACTACTAAAAACTTTGCTTCTGATATTCAGAATTATGTTTATATGATGATGACATTTCGATTATCATTCCAGATGTATGTCATAAGAAGTGACCAGTAATGGCTACCGTCACTTCAGCGCAGATCAACATGCAATCAGAGATGCCTACGCTGACGCCGAGATTATAACTGAGGGTCCCGTCACTATCACAGAGGACACCCTCAACGCCAGCGCAGACCATCCCAGACGACCTGGTCAACCAAATCATGAGGCTGATGGAAGACCATTACGGGCTTACAGAGGCCTCAGAGCCACGGGCCCCAGAGCCCACCCCATACTAAGTGATACAGGGCCCCAGAGCCGCCTTTGACCTCGCGTAGGGCCCTGAGCCCATAGACGCACCTCCGCCGAAGGGCAACCCTGCCCAGAGTGAGCTCTTTGCATAAGGTATCCCAGGCGCCTCCGAGGAGGAGCTAGAGCCTGACCCTTTGCAAGAGGCTTCATGGAGAAGGAGCTTCGCTTCAGCACGCACCTTGTCATGTAATGGCATGCGTTCGCAAAGCAAGCACTCATATGTCGGATTGGACACTGACTCCAGACATTAGCGCAAGACGCTAAGGCTAAGTGGTTCTACAATGCCTAGGAGGCGTTCGCGTAGCCCTCAACGTTCGAGAAGTCCAGAGCGTCTGCGAAGCCATCACCGTTCTCGAAGCCCACAGTTTCCGCGAAGGATGTCTTCTC